ACAGGATGGCAGCCAGACAAAGGCACAGCATTCCACAACCTGCTTCATACTCTGTGCCTGGCAAACCACTGAGAGAGAGGAGTTATGGCAAACAAGGCTTGCGTTAACAACTACACTTTAATACCACTCATTCTGTCTTAGAACAAACACTCTATAAAATCCTTCTGGGGTAAAAAGTGCAACATAAAACTTGTATGACAAACGAAAGCAAAAGTAGCATCAAAGACCCAACTAACCCCCTGAAGTCTCTCACAGGAGGATGCAGAGTACAAATACAGTATTTGAAACTCAGTAAAAGAAGTATTTGACTGGAGCACGAACTTTCAAGTTGAAGATAATTATTTTGCAGGAATGCTTCATTTGAATCTCGAGAGCTAGAGCGAAGAGAGAACAGCAGTCTGGTAGCTAAGTGGCTGAAACGCTTAATTTTTCAGTAGGTTGTTAATTATTCCCTTCAGAAGAAAGTGCTTCACCTTTAAACTAATTATTCTCCTTTTCGTTACATGGTTCCTGCTTTTAAACTGTAGTTGCCGCAAACTTGCTTGACAATTGAATTTTGTCACGTGGATAATGGTAGGCTGTCATGGCTGAACCCGAGTGGAGGGGCGACCTAAGCTGCTTTTGTAAGAAACCCGCTGTCGAGTGTTCCTGAGTGTGTTTACAGTAACTTTATAAAACTCAGTGTATCTGATCAAGTATCATCCCTCCCCAAATAAAGTCATATCAGAGATGTTTCTAAAAGAGGCTTTCAAACTAGTCCTTCAGGCATTTAAAAAATCTTCATATAAAAGTCCACTTCTTTAATACATAAGAACAAACACTTTTTTCCTTTAAAAAAAAAAAAGCTCATTTTTAAGCCAAAATAAATTACAACTTGCTGAAATACCTTTGTTTCCAATGGCTCAGTGCTTATTTCAGATACATGGAGCTGTATTTTTTGCACATCTTCAGAAATTAGACACACTGAAACAGAGCAGTTAAGATGACATGATGGCACAGCCCTGGCTCAGGGAAGCGATCAAGCCCTAAGTCTTCAGGAATAAAAAGCTGATACTCATTGTCCCATATACACAGTCCTATATTATGCACATATTAATAATCTAGTCAATGAAAAATAAAAAGACAGGATTTCATAAAATTATTTCAAAACTCAGAGCACAGAAATGGAAAGAAACACTTAATGCACAGCCTATTCCATTCGGCCATGTGTAAATTATGCTGAGAGAGAAAAACGTGTCTACAGATAGAACGTAACGAAAAGGCAACGTGGCTGAAGAAGCACTCTCAGGTCCACAGCTCCTCGGTTCTTCCGAACTTGTAGATCAGAGTGCTGGAGAGAGAGAAACACCACTCATGAGAAAACAAACGCACGTGGGACGAGCAGCACAGAACTCATTCCTAGATATACAGGTTCCTCACTGATGCTTTGTGTCAGTTCCTACCACCAACGAGCGCGCTGCCGGTGGTCTGAATTCACACTACTTTGTAAAGCAGTTTGTTGACCTAGACGGCTGAGCTTAGTCACTGAGTATTCTTCCTCAAGGCCTGGGAAGTGGTTACCCAGCAAACCTGTAAGGAAAAGGGACATTTCTCACGG